GGTCAGTATTGGGGGAGCACAGATTTTTCATCCCTTTCACGGTTCACCTCCGTGTTCCCACCTGTTTAGAGTTTGTTTCCTGTAGACAGTTATTAAAGGAACAACACAAAACAAGCAGCTCTTGTTGAATACCGCCGGCATCCACTGAGCTCCAGCGCTGGTGTAGGCTGCTGGCAACAGGCTGCTGACCCTGTGGTGGGTGGTTTGAAGCCTCCCAGCAGCACCGCGTGGTAAAGGCTGGGACTCCCCTCTCCAGACAGACCAGAGCCAAGAGGACCTGTGGGGGTGCCCTCTGACGCACTGGGTCTCCGTGACTCTGGGGACAGGGCATTGCGTCTGGAACGGTTCTCAGTCTTATCTTTTGGTGCCAGCAAGTTGTAGTATCATCCGCGGACCTGCCAGCACATCCAGGGACATGGGCCCAGTGGGTCTCCTGTCGTCCCTCTGCAGCGACTCGCCCTCCCACCCACCTCCTCGTCCCCGCAGATGAGTGCTGGGCTCCCAGGCCAGGCTGTGAAGTGTCAGCTTTGTGCGAGAATGGAGGATGCCACGCTTTACATGCTGCCGGCTCATATTATGGCAGGCCTGTCCCACGCCACTGGGGACCACTATCACAGCCACAGCCCACCAGGTGGCCGTCGGGAGTCAGAAGGACAAGGCAGCCCGAGTCCGGAAAACCTTGGGGGCCAATGGGGATGCCACAGCAGTGGGAAGCACATAGGACCCATTCAGTTCTTCTGGTTTCTGGTGGCAAGGGAAAGGTGCTTTCAACAGGTGTGTACAGTGTTAGTGTGTGTGTGCTATCACCTCTTGGGTAAATATCTGGGTGTGAACCGGCCACGTGACATGGTGGGTGTGAAGACAAGAGGAAGAAACTAAAACCCAGAAATAGACTCTCAAACCACAGACCCATCAGAGAGTCAGTTGGTGGACAGAGCACGCCTGTTCCACAAATGGTGCTGGGACAGCTAGCCAGCCTCAGTGGACACCATCCAGTACTGGAGTGGTTCCTCTGGTAACTGGCATCAGCATTAACCCCTGACCTGGGCCACACCCGATGGATCTCTGTCCCTCTTCTCCCATCTAAGATGTAAGTTTACAGTGGGCTGTCACAGGGTTCCACCGACACGCAAATCCATTCTGTACTCAGTGCCTCGGAAAGCATTTGATCCCCTGGTTCACACTCAACTGGGTCCTCGTTGAGTGCTGTGGGGTTAACGGTCTTGCCTAGCATCATCTGAGAGTTTTACATACACGCACTCCTTTTCTTCATTCGCCCGGTTCCCACACTCCACACCCCGGGTCCCCGAGCCCTGGTAATGTAGCAACACCAGACTGCTCCCGCCTTGCCGAGGGTGGTCCAGCCCATGGCTGACTTCTCGCAGGACTGCCTCCTAGCACCCGTGTCATTGCTAAGTTTGCGCCCATTGTTGCAGCCCTGGGTCTGCCCATTTATGGAGGGCCCTCCACCTTACCGAGCATGATGTCCTTCTCCAGAGACTGGCCTCTCCTGACCAGTCCCTGCGTGTCTTGCCTTTGCTGCTGGCCTGCCAAACTGCCCTCTTCAGTGGCTGCGCCATTTCAGACGAGGCAAGGTTCCAGCGTGTACCGTGAACGGCTGCTCTCCCGGGGCGGAGGGGCCGGGGAGCTTCATCTCTGCAGTGTGACGGTGCTTCTGCCCCCTGCATGCCCCAGGACTGGGCCTGGCTGCTGACTGTGAGGTAGCCCAAGTCCCTCAGTAGTTTTGAACATGAAGCCCTTATGCAATAGAGGCCCAAGCCAGGGCTCAGCCATGGGGTCAGTGGCTCACAGCGAGCCTCTGGGTGTCTGAGGCAGTTGATCTTTATTGGACCTGACCGCCTCATCTTTCTCTCTCAGAGAGGGTGAGGGTTTGAACTGCTGCCCCTGGTTCCCCATCTAAGGCTTACCCCACAGTTCTCTTTCCAGCCGTCTGCTGCCTTTCGCTTGCTGGTTTTCAGCTTGCTCTGATGGGTTCTTGGGCATGCGTCCGGGAGCCAAAGTGCCCTCGCGGTGTGATTCGGCCCCATGTTTCATCCGGCTTCCTTTTTCGTAGGTGGTGCTCGCCGATCAAGCGTTTGCTCGCACGATGAAGGGGACCCTGTGGCCAAGCCCAGAAGCAGGCCCCCGCGGCATAAATGCACGTCGACGCCATGAGGGCTGCTGCAGCGGGACGCGTGCTGGCGGTGATCTGGGCCGAGATGCTGTGTTCATGGACGCCGCTTAGGCCACATTTCAGGTAGTGTGGTTCGTGGCGTGCACGGAGCATCTCAGAAGACAGACTCTCTATGCCCTGCCCTGGGCACAGATGGGCACTGAGATCGACGGGCCGACCCCGTGTTTCACAGTGACGGTGCGGCAGGCATAGCCATGGTCAGCCATGGACGCCGGGCAGCAGGCTTGTCCCCACGTGCGCAGTGAGTTTGCTTCGCAGAAAACCGCTTTTAAAGCAGAAGAGGAGGACGATGCCGGAGTCCCCGTGCCCAGCCCGCGGAGGATGGATCTGAGAGGGGAGCTGGGAGCCCCTCCGTGCTCACACGTGGCCACCGAGCGCCTGGAGGGCAGGGGGGTGGACTGTGCCAGTGCCCTCCCCGGGAAGTACCTGCCTGGGGACGTGGAGGACGACTACGGGTCCCTGTTCTCACAGTACAGCAGCACGCTGTACGACGTGGCCATGGAGGCCGTGACGCAGAGCCTGCTGTCCAGCAGACAGCTGAGCTCCCGGAAGAAGTCGCCGGCCTGGAAGCACTTCTTCATCTCGCCGCGCGACAGCACCAAGGCCGTCTGCGTGTACTGCGTGAAGGAGTTCAGCCGCGGCAAGAACGAGAAGGACCTGAGCACCAGCTGCCTCATGAGGCACGTGCGCAGGGCGCACCCCACCGCGCTGCTGCCCGAGGGGCCCGGCGAGGCCTGCGACCCGGGTGGTGCCACGCCGTCACCCATCAAGCACCTCACGGAGGCCCCATCGCCTGACCGCACCACGGAGGAGGCCTCCTTGGACCCGTCCGGCTCTGAGAAGTACGGCCGGGAGGACGCCACACTGGGCTCAGCCGTGCACCTGCACCTGCCCCTGCCCCTGCCCGGCCTGCACTTGGACGAGGCTGCGGAAGGCGGCCCCGAGCGAAGCCTTGCGGCGCCCAGGAGCACGGCGGCAGGCTCGCGGCGGCGGTCAGCCGTGTGGAAGCACTTCTACCTGTCGCCCCTGGACAGCTCCAAAGCCGTGTGCATCCACTGCATGAACGAGTTCAGCCGCGGCAAGAACGGCAAGGACCTAGGCACCAGCTGCCTCATCAGGCACATGTGGCGCGCCCACCGCGCCATCGTCCTGCGGGAGAACGGCGGCGGCCCGGGCATCCCGCCGCCCTACTCCACGCCCCCCACTCTGCTGCCCTCCCTGCTGCCTTCTGATGGGGACTTCCACCCCGGTGCCTCGCCTCTGGGCAAGCCTGCCTCAGCGTCGTCCTCCCCTGACCGGCTGCCAGAAGACGCCCAGCCGCACTTCCACCCCGGAGACGCGCTCGCGGCGGCGGTGGCGGTACTGTCGTCGTCCGAGGATGTTGGCAACAGCTCAGCATTGTCGTCTCCCGAGAAGCCGGGCGACGGGCTGAGCCAGCGGGCCTCTGGGCCCGGCGCTGTGTTCCAGCAGAACAAGAAGGTCATGAAGAGGCTCAAGTCCGAGGTCTGGCACCACTTCTCGCTGGCACCCACGGACAGCCTGAAGGCTGTGTGCCGGCACTGCAGCTGTGTCATCAGCCGGGGCAAGAAGGGCGATGTGGGCACCAGCTGTTTGATGAGGCATCTCTACCGGCGCCACCCCGAAGTCATCGGGAGCCACCGGGGCTTCCTTGGGGCCAGCCTGGCCAACTCCCCTTATGCCACGCTGGCCTCAGCCGAAGGCCCCTCCTGCAAACTGCCTGGCATGGCAGCAGTGGTTTCGAAAGATCACCAGGTCGCCTTTCCCGTCAGCAGCAAGAAGACCTCGAAACTCTGGAACCACTTCTCCATCTGCTCGGCGGACTCCACGAAAGTCGTGTGCCTGCACTGCGGACGCACCATCAGCCGGGGAAAGAAGCCAACCAACTTGGGGACCAGCTGCCTTTTGAGACATCTCCAGAGGTTCCACAGCAGTGTGCTGCGGAACGCCGCCGCCGAGGCCACCTCGCCTGCGCCTGCCGGAGCACGCCCACCCCTGAGCACGGAGCCGCAGGGGGCGCCGGCCCCAGAGGAGCCCTGTGAAAAGTTCTGTGACTCTCACCCAGTTGCCAGAAAGATAACAGGCCTCATAGCGGAGATGATGGCCCTGGACCTCCAGCCGTACTCTGTGGTCGACAGTGTGGGCTTCACCAGGCTCCTGGGATACTTGAAGCCTCAGTACTCCCTCCCCTCGCCCTCCTACTTCTCCAGGTCCGCCATCCCCGGGATGTACGACAGCGTGAAGCAGGTCATCCTGTCCCACCTGAAGGACGCGGAGAGCGGCGTGGTCCACTTCACCTCGGGGATCTGGATGAGCAACCAGACCCGGGAGTACCTCACCCTGACGGCCCACTGGGTCACCTTCACCCCCTCGGCCCGCCCGCACCCACAGGACCACCACTGCTCAGCTCTCCTGGACGTGTCCCAGATCGACTGCGACTACGGCGGCAACAGCATCCGGAAGCAGCTGGAGTACTGGTGGGAAGCCTGGGTGACATCCATGGGCCTCCAGGTGGGCATCACGGTGACCGACAACGCCAGCATCGGGAAGACGCTGAGCGACGGGGAGCACCCGAGCGTGCAGTGCTTCAGCCACATAGTGAGCCTCATCGTGAACGAGGCCATCAAAAGCCAGCGGATGGTCCAGAACCTACTGAGCATCGCACGGAAGCTCTGTGAGCGGGTCCACCGGTCCCCAAAGGCAAAGGAGAAGCTGGCAGAGCTGCAGCGGGAGTACGGCCTGCCCCAGCACCACCTGATCCAGGACGTCCCGTCCAAGTGGAGCACCTCGCTGCTCATGCTCGACAGACTCATCGAGCAGAAGAGGGCCGTCAACAAGGTGTCCGTCGAGTGTAACTTCAGGGAGCTGCTCAGCTGTGACCAGTGGGAGGTCATGCAGTCCGTGTGCCACGCGCTGAAGCCCTTCGACGCCGCGAGCCGGGAGATGAGCACGCACGTGTCGGCGCTCAGCCAGGTGATCCCCATGATCCACATCCTCAACCGGAAGGTGGAGATGCTTTTCGAGGAGACCATGGGCATCGACACCATGCTCAAGTCTCTGAAGGAGGCCATGGTGAGCCGCCTGTCCTCCACCCTCCACGATCCCAGGTACATTCTTGCTACGCTTCTGGACCCTCGCTACAAGGCCTCCTTATTTACAGAGGAGGAGGCCGAGCAGTACAAGCAGGACTTAATCAGGGAGCTGGAAATACTGAATTCTACCTCAGATGAGAAACCTGTTTCCAATGGGTGTGATGCAGGTTCCCCATCCAAAGACTCTGCTGGAGAGGACAGCCTGTGGTCCCTCATGGCCACGGTGACGAGACGAGATCTGCGAGACACGACGAAGCTACCTGAAGACATGGTGCTGGCCTACCTGGAGGAAGAGGTGCTCGAACACAGCTGTGATCCATTAGCCTACTGGAACCTAAAGAGGTCCTCCTGGCCGGCCCTGTCGGCATTGGCTGTCAGGTTCCTGGGCTGCCCGCCAAGCATCGTCCCCTCAGAGAAGCTGTTCAGCACGCCCACTGAAAGCAGTAGCTTTAGCCAGTCCCGGCTCATGACGGAACACTTTGAAAAACTAATCTTTTTGAAAGTGAATCTCCCCTTAGTATACTTTCAGTATTGAAACTGGATGGAGCCACCGGGCTCTTGGCAAAATGTCCTTGCTTTGTAGGCATTAGCTGTGTCTGCCACTGCCACACAGCGGGGCCATGGATGGCATCAGGGCAGGGACTTGCAGGTCCCCGTTGGCGTGTTGCTGCCCAGCTTCCCACGTCATGTCTGCAGGTGCCTTACTACTCCTCGTTCTTCAGGCCAGATGCTGTAGATAGGGTTGTTTTCTTAAAGAACTTCTCTAGACATAGCTTGTCTCATCAGTTACTATCATTAGGTTTTAATCCATAACTGTAAATTTTATTTTATTTTTCAAGTTGGGGGTTAGGAACTTGTTTGAATAGAATGGCAGAAGAGATGTAAGCAGTTCTGTTCTGTAGACCTTTTATTCAAGTGTGTAAAAAAACCACAAATCAGGTACTGTATTTAGTTAAGCCTTGCTTTAATTTTAGGACAGCCCTGCGGCTGCCAAAAGAAATGCGTATGTGAGAGGCGGAGTTCAAGCCATCCTCAGGCAGTTGACACTGCTGGCTCTAAAGTCCTCCTTCAGACTCCCGAAGAGCCCTTGTTTACTACTACAGAGACAGAGCATCCGAGAGCAGACCTCGGAGCACGGCGTTGTGCTGGGCGACTTGTGATCCACAGGAACTTGGTCAAGAAACCGGCCCGTTTACGTGTTTTGTGCTCAGGTTTCCCACCGCCAGTCAGAGTCGGCGCTATCCCAGCGATGTATGATGAATCCCTTTGCAATGACACGTAGGACGGAGTCGGGCACGTAGCACGAAGAGCTCACAGCAGACGTCCCGTGTTCAGTGTCTCCGAGCCTCTGGTTTCGTCTGTATGACGAAGCTGCCTGTTAGAAACTGTGCGCCGATCCCCAGTTTGATCAAATCACGTGTGGAATTCTTTGTAGAGAGCAGCTCTACTCACAGGGAAGGAGACTGTCGTGGTACAGTTTTTAAGGGTAGACTTAGGTGGTTAGGGTTTTCTTCTGTCCTAGGGAAGATTCAGCCATTGTTGGGGTGTTTTAGACCCCCAAGGACATCGTAATGAAGTTTCCAGTCACCCGATTTTTTTAGCCATTTGTCATCAGTGTTTCGTTTTCTCCCTTCAAACTAATTAAGCACCCTGGGTGGAACAAGTCACCTGTGATCTTTTAGAAAAACTGTCGTTTTGTTGAAATACTGTACCTATGTTTAATCTAAATTTGCATTGACTATGTTTTAGTGTATTTATAAATGAACTCAATTTCTAAAATTAAATTTTTTATTTGAAACTTCTAGTGCTGTGGACACTGTCTTGTAATTTTAGGGTAACAAAACAGGCGTGCTCTGGGGACCACACATAAAAGGCATATGCACGGGGCGATGTGGACTTCACAGCAGACAGGTCGAAGCCGTGAGGACTCGGTTGGTGGCAACGTGCTCCTGCAGTCAGGTGACAGGGTACATGAAAACGCGAGAAGACCGTGGGGGCACCAACTGCATCCATTTCCCAGGGGCATGGAGCAACCACCACCACAGAGGGGCGGCTGAAGAGAGGCCACATGGGAGCTCTCGGTCTGCGGCCCTGCCACAGCTCCAGAGCACAGTCTAGCTGCCGGTCCCAGTGGTCCTTGGGGACTCCTTGCTTCATTCTCTTTGTCTCTGGCATGCCTTTGTGTGCCCATCAGCTCCTCCTGCAGAGGCAGGGAAGGAGGGTGGCGTGGCATGGTCCACCCCCATCTCTGCCTCAGCTGGGCTCTGGCCCAGAGGGCAGGCTGTGGCCAGGAGAGGCGTGAACAGTGATTTCACTTGGCTGCATCCCTGACCTCCCTGCAGTCATGTCTTCTGAGAGTGGCACTTTGAGTGGTGGAATCCTTTTCCTGGGATGGTGCAGTGCTTCATGGGTCCTCGCTCAGACAGGTCAGTGTAAGCTAACTGGCAGCAGCATGTTGTTTAACCAAGAGCAAGCGCCTGCCTTCCTCCAGGGCCAGAGCTCAGTCCTGGGAGCATAGCAGTGTTCATGTAGAAGGGAGGGAGACAAGCCCTTTCTTCAGGGCTACTTCCTGTTGGGCATTTGCTGGGTCCCTGGACAGCGAAACCTGATGGAATGTTATTGCTGAGCGTTTGCAGCAGCACTGTGCTGAGCAAGCCGGACACTGATGCTCGCATGCTAATGCAGCGGTCTCTGGCCCTCCTGCCAAGTCCACTAGGCTTTCAGAGCCGCGCTCTGAAGAAGGAGCGCTGTCTCCCGGCTGCAGTCTCCCCTGGCTGGGAGGCTGGCTTGTGCCTGCTGGTAAGCAGGGACCAGGGTTTCCCGCGGAGGGCTGGGGGAGCAGATGGGCCTCACAAACCCCAAACCAACGGGGGGCCAATCTTGAAGCGGTGGTCTTCCTTAGCCCTCTTTTGTGCCCTAGGAAAGTGATGTTTTCTTCCACTGAGAAAATCCCGAGTGTTATTACTTTGCATGCATAACGGTTTGGGACCCAATTGAAAAAAATAGCGGACATGTTAGAGAACAGGACCAAGTGACGGAGGTAAGAGCAATGAACAGAATAACAGGTGGCTGAAGGAGTGCCTTTATTTGACAGACTGCGGCTAATGCCTTCAAGAAAACAGACTGGAAGCTATTAGAATGATAAACATGAGAACATTAGAGAACTTTTAAAGAGGCGAGCTCAGTTGATAAATGCATCAAATTAGATACAGGTGAGGACTGCAGAATTTACAGACATGTGACACAAGCATCCAGAGGAAGGACTGAGAGAGAGGCGCATCCAGCAGCAACCGTAGGAGAGAGGCCCAGTGCACTGGAGGCGGCTCGCAAGAGCAGAGACTGCACAGACGTACTATTAGAAAGAGAGCAGCTAAGGGGCAGACAACATCAAGCCGTGGAGTTTAGAATCTCATTGGATTGCAAATAGGATAAACTAAAAACACATATTATTAAAGTGGTGAAAACTAAAGCCGAGAAATTTTAGAGGTGGAGATAAACACGTTCAGGGGAGCAACAGAGCTGACAGCTGGCTTTCCTGCAGAAAGTGGAAGCCCGGACCATGGCCTCTGGCCCTGTGAGGAAGTAACTACCACCCCCAGGCTCCATGTACACTGAACTGGGAACTGGTGCTTCCAAGGACTACTTGGTGTTTCTCACCAGCAGACCGGTTGGTCCTAAAATAACGTACTGCAGAGAAAGGGACACCCAGTGAGACAGAAAGGAAGGGAAGACGGGGGGGAATCGGTGAATACGGACTACTTCAAACTAATATTTTTTAGGGATGAAAATACAGGCTCACTTAGATGCACAGAAGCACAAGATGCGGGAAGGTCAGCCAATCACATAACGTGTAGGATTCTTGCCTTGTCCTGTAAGTAGTGAAAGTTTGAGTTTAAAGTAAATTCTTATGCATTAGGGAGGCATGTGACCTCTAAGAGGGTTACTTAGAATGACACAGGTGTTGAAAGAGGAAAAATGGACTCAAAAACTCCAAAGGAAGGCAAGGGATGTGGAGACGGTCCCTGGGCTAACGGTTCCCCGGGGGCCTGGCAGGGGAGGCGGGGGAAATGGAGAGCTGATGAGTAGGGAAAGGAAATGTTCTCAAGCTGATTGCAGTAATGATCGGACAACTCTTCTCGATGTGACTGAACTATTTATTGTATGATACGTGGATTCTGTGCCAATAAAATTTTTTTAAAAGGCAAGGGAGAAAAATTGCAACAGAAAAGACGGAACAAATCGTAAAATGGGCAGTTGAAGCCCCCAAAGGACAGGAATGATAGTAAAGGTCAATGGGACAAATAGCACAGTGAGCGCATTTGCTAAAGTAACCAAGCCCAAGTGTGTTCATGAATAAGATCCACTCAGGAAACTCCGCTCAGAGAAATGCTAGACGTCACTGGCATGGAGCTAGTACCTGACAAAGATGACCTGAGACAAGAAGTCTGACTGCAGAGATGGTTTGCTTTCTGGGCGGGCAACACAATAGTTAAAAGTAGACATAACTAGGAATACAGCCTCAAAATAGATTAGGCTGAAACGGGAAGAACTAAAGGATTAGTCACGGGGAGAAGCCCCACGTCCTCCAGCAGCGTCCACGGGAGACCTGGGCCCTATCTTTCCCCATGCACTGCTTCCTCGTCTGCCCTGGGTCCTCTTGCCTAACCAGCTATTAGATGTGCTTCCCCCGGGCTCAGCGGTCAACCTTCTTAAAGCCCTTCTCAAAGCTTCCCATTTCACTCCGAGGAAAAGCCACGGCTTTACTGGGGCTCCCGAGGGCCGCCCTGACCGCTGTCTGCACCCTCCACTCACCTCCCTCCAGTGCTGGAGGAACAGCTGCGGATAGACAACACCTCCTGCCCCAGGTGGTGCCACATACTCCCTGGGAGCAGACACAGGACAGGTGGCCGCAGGAAGAAGGATCCACCCACCCACCTCCACCCCGTGCCCGGCACAGTCAGAGGCAGTGCCCAGAAGGGCTTGTTGAGGGTGGGGTGAGGGGGATGTGTCTGGAGTGGGAGGCGGAATTGGGCGGAACAGTTGGAGGCAGTCAAGCCCAGGAGAGGCGCAGGGTGTGTCAGGGTGAGGAGCCCAGGAGAGGAGGGCTGAGAGCTTGACGTAGGCTTGAAGGGGGGACGGGGAAGATGATGTGACCCCAAATGAGGCCATGCATACTTGTACTGGTACCCTTCTGTGCAACTACAACCAGCCCGCCTCGCTACTTTAAGTCCTCCACTTTATGTCTGTGCTGCCTGGTGGCTGCGTGGTGCTGTGACTGGAAGCTGTGCCACCTCTTTCAGCTACCAGTAGGGACACGGTGGTGAATGGGTTTCAGTGGAGCTGGCAGACTAGAAAGACACTGACAGGCTGCCGGGAGATGAGCCCCGCAAGTGGGAAGGCACGCAAGCTGTCCCTGGAGAAGAGCTGCCTCTGTCGTGAGGTTCACGGCTGTCTGTGGTCATGCAACTGTTACTCAAATTTCCACACCAGTCCTAAAGGTAGCGAGCGATGAAGAAACGGAAGAATTCTACTAACTTCTTCAGCCTAATTGATCAGAGACAATCAAGATGCATGGATAATTTCGGGATTCTAGATTGGAAACAAAGCTCAGCACCTCGTTGGGACAAGAGGAAGCTGCCCTGCCCTCAGCCCCTATACAAGGTGACTATGAGTCCGAACTGACTTGATGGCAGTGGGCTTGGGTTTTTATGAACCAAACAGCTGGCGATTTCATGACCGAATTCTGCAAGGCCCATGACTTCAATGCAAACACCCTTTTCAACAACATCCACGCAGACTTGCCAGAGGGAACACACAGGAATCGAACTGACCACACCTGCCGGGAGTTCAGAGAGCTGGCTGGGGTTTGCTGACCCCTGGAAGGTTTACAACACTAGTGTGTCCCTTTGGGCACCTGACAGGACTTTGTAACACGTCCCTGTAAACAGCCACCCTCTGATCATTTCTCACTGGCTCTACAACTTGTGAACTTCCTGAATAAACCCTTTATCCTCATGAATTTTGCCTGTGAATTTGTGTAACCATGGCAACGGCTGTTAGAACCTAGCGGGAAGTTCTAGAACGCTCATTAAGGCAACACGACCCACAGCGAGTCAAAGCTCTGACAGATCCCATTTCACTGGGACCCACCTCGCAGGCTGGGAAGCAGCCAGCCATCCAGAAACCAAGTGACATAAATGCAACTGAACAAGTTTGCTGTCAGAGATCCCTGTAAAGTGCTGAGGAGCAAGGTGTCCCTTGGAGGTCTGCCGGGGGCCACCGAAGCCGTGGTAATTTCAGGAAGCTTCACCCAGAGTAAGGAAGGCTGGAGGGCTGAGGCCTTGGGTGCTGAAGAATCACGACCAGAGGAACAAGTAAATCAGTTTTGCAAGAAACGCTGGAATGCGCGTTAGAAGTGAAGCTGGCAAGCTTCCTCTCACATACTTTGGACTTGTAGTCAGGGGAACCCGCGCCCCTGGAAGAAGACACCATGGTTGGGGAAGCAGAGGCTCATCACAAAGGGAAGGCCCTCTGAGAGGCTGGGCAGTGTGCCCGACAGGCTCAAACATAAGATGGCACAGGACCTGGCAGTGCCGCCTCCTGTTCCCCTGGGGTCACTGTGAATTGGAACTGATGGACAGCACCCAGCAGCAGCGACATAGAGCCCTAACAGGATGTCTGCACATGTGTATTTTTCTTTGTGGTGGAGCAGATAGGTGGGGGCCAAGTTATGAGCCCTTCTTAGACATAACCACACACCTTGAGAGAATGAGCTGCTGGGGCTGGGGGATTAGGACCAGGACCGTGGTCTCGGGAGACCCCGTGGTGAGCCAGCATCACGTACAGTTCACAGTGTTCTACATCCTACTTCGGTGCTAAAGCTCGTGAGAAGCCATGTAAGACACACCTGGTCTCCCTGTCTATGAGAGCAGAGGGGTGGACATGGAAGACAGAGGGACACAATTAGAGCACCCGACCTCAATCTCCATGACCCTACTCTCAAAGGGACCCCGTGAGAAGGCCTGGGTAGAGTGGGGGAGCGCACACTCCTGAGACCAGGGCTGCTTTTTTGGTCAGACAGAGACTGGTGGGGCCGAGACTCTCGCCCTTAGTTACCCTCTGGGCCTGAAGCTGAGTCAAACACCAGACGGTTCTGCCAGGGGGAATGAGCATAAAGAGGACAGCACACCTCAGAACCACTGACCACTGGACATCAAAGGGCAGCAGTGACCCAGGGGCAGGATTCCAAGGGTCAGAGGAGATGCACAAGGAGCGGGGTGGGGGGTGGGACAGGCTGATGTGACAGTCCATGAGAAGGGAGGTGACTGTTCCCTGGAAAACGCCCCTGCCCTGTGAACCTCCACAATCAGACACGCCAGTGCACACAGCCTCTGCATCTCCCCCGGGTCAGGCCAGTCTCGGGAAGCAGTCACACAGAAGACGCCTCGTAAGAACAATGCGAGATCTTTCATTTTGATTCCATATCCACTCATGGCCCTCCACATGCTGAAGCTGGAATGTACACGGGCTGACCAGCAAGATGTGCAGCGGGGAGCTGCTGGTCAGGGTGGGCCAGACCTGGGCTGTCTGAGGGGAAGCTGTCCCAGTGGGCGCGTTGCTGGTTTGGTGACAAACGTTGTCACCTCTTGTGCCAACACCACAGGGGACTTGGCATCCCAGGATGGAGTGCTGGCGGCAGCCCCGTGGATGGGGAGACCGCCTGCAGAGGGCCTGCCCACAGACAGTGGGATAGTGCACGCCACGCCATCTGCATGGGCCCTGCGACAAGCCCCCTCAGGATGGCCCACGCACCCGCTCCAGCAGCACCAGTTTGGGCTGGAAGTCGACGTGGAAGGGTGGCAACCGGGTCAGATTGAGCCGCACGCCGCTGGTGCCGGCCACGTGGGCCAGCACACGGTGGGAGTCCCGATAGAGGGCCAGGGGCACAGGCGCCGCCTCCAGCAGCAGGTGGGTGTAGGCCAGCATGCCGGCCGCCCCGGGCTGCAGGTCCTCCCGCTTGTCGTACCTGTAGGCAGAAGCATGTCTCTCCCTGGCACCCCACCCCCACCCCGCACACACAGCGTCCAGCATCTGTGCCACCTACCTCCACCCAGGGTTCAGCTCCAGGAACCGAGAAACACCCGTCTGTGCGGCTGCCACATCGATGTGCACAGAGACACCTGCGGGACGGGTGGTCATCAGAGCAGCACAAGCATGCGGTTGCCGTGTGTGAGGCACCCACCTGTGTAGGTGGGGGTATACCCACCTGTGAGGGGGGGCACCCACGTGTGTGTGGTACCCACCTGTGTGCATAGGGACAGCTACCTCTGTGAGGGCACCCACCTGTGGGGGGGGGCACTCACCTGTATGCACGTGCGTGGTGGGCATCCAACTGTGTGTGGGGGGACACCCACCTGTGTGTGCATACATGGGGGGTACTACCTGTGGGGGGGGGCATCCACCTGTGGGGGGGGCACCCACCTGTGTGCGTGCGTGGGGAGCATCCAACTGGTGGGGGGCACCCAACTGTGTGTGTATGCTTGGGCGACACCCACCTGTGTGTGCGTGTGTATGGGGCACCCACCTGTGTGGGGGGGCACCAACGAGTGGAGCTGCTGCAGCGCCACACCGCCCGGGTAGTTGAAGTGGGACACGTAGAGGCAGGCGACCGTATAGATGGTGTTGAGGGCAAGGTGGGCAAGGGCCAGGAGGGAGCCCGCTCGGTACAGCCAGGACTTCCTGGAGTTGTTCAGCCTGAGGGCGAGCGGCACCACCTCAGCAGGCCCCCTGGGGTGCCAAGCTAACCCCCTGGGGTCTCCGCACCGGCCCTCCAGCGGTGTGTGGGCACTCACAGGTGGGCGCAGCCCCGGGCGGCAGCAACGTTGAGCAGAGGCACCGTGTAGATGATGAAGCGCAGTTCCTTGTGCGGCAGCAGCGAGTAGAGTAGTACGAAGCCCAGCGCCGGCAGCAGGAGGGCCCGGGCCCGGCGGTCCAGCGCGCCCAGCGGCACGAACAGCACGCTGCTGCCCAGGGCACGGGGCAGCGCTGAATAGAAGTACCACAGGAACGGGGAGGTCTGCAGTGGTTAAGGAGCATCTACCTATTGGCTCCGCCCGTCCATTGTCTACTGGCCTAGAGCAGCAGGGACAGGGGGGTGGGGGGGCTGCCGGGTAGTATTCAGGAGTGTCCCTGCGACCCCAGACGCATCCACTGGCCGGCACCTGTGGGCAGCCAGGCCCTAAAAGAAGGATACGCCCCAGTTGGAGCTCTTGTTCAGGACGGTGTTGTACCAGAGCACGGTGCCCTCCGGCCACACGAGGTAGCCCCAGAAGTATGAGTCCACGGCCACAGTCAGTCCTGATGCAACGGGGGGCAGGGGAGGAGAAGGGGGGCATGGCTCAGGGGGGGCCAGGCCCCCAGTGGTGCCAGCGTCTTACCTGTGAGGGCCAGCTCGCACTCACCCAGACAGAGGACACCGGCAGGGACAGCGTGGCGCAGGACCTTCCGCAGGCCCACATGCCCGCCCATGAGCAGCAGCAGCAGCTGGATGCCCAGCAGGATGGCCAGCTCGGCCCGGAAGACAATGGCCGCCAGCGCCGAGAGCCACAGGAAGCAGGCCCAGCGCCGTCTCAGCCAGGCTGTGACCGCCAGCAGGGCTGAGTGGGACAAGGTCTCAGGTGGGGGGCACCCTAGAACCCGCAGCCACCCGAGCACCCGGAGGACTATCACCCACCCTCAACTATTTTCACAGCTCCCACCAGGGCCTCTAGGCAGGGTTCATACCCATGGGCAGGGCCAGCATGTTGGGCAGTGTGCGCGTGCAGTAGAACATTAGGTGGAACTGTGTGGCCGTCACCCAGCAGAACAGCATGGCTACCGTGGCCCCAAAGTGCCGCTGCACTTCCCGTTGCAGCTTCCAGAGGGCGGCGAGGACACCGAGCCCCAGAGTGGCCCGGACTGCAAACACAGGACAACCCCGGGTGGGTGTCAGGTCCGTGTGCACCCAAATGAGCTCAAGGAAAGACCCAGAGGGCCCTGGTGGCGGCGGTGTGGGGCCCACAGGCACTTGCGGGCAGCTGGAGGGGCTTGAGAAGCCCAGTGGTCCACACAGCTCCCATCCTCCCGCCACAGCCCCAAGGCAGGGCTGCCCCAGACTGCATCTGTCCGCGAGGAGGCCGGCGGGGGCCACAAGACAGGAGCTGGGGGTGGTTGAGGGTCTGCTTCACTCACCCACGAGCTGTGAGTAAAACTTGGATGCTCCCAGCAGGGAGAGCAGGTAGACGGTGGGGCTGGAGGCAGCAGCGATGACCAGGGGCCCGAGAAACGTCCTAGGCACCACACCGGGGAACTCATGATGGTCGTACTGCGCAGGACGGGGCAGAGCCAGTGAGGGAGGGGCCTGAGGCAGGCCACCACCCCACCCACCCACCCCTGTTCCCGCCTACTGCCCACCTGCGGAAGTGCTGCTCACCTTGTCCAGGTCCCGCCCGTGGTAGAGCAGGTCGTGCACCGCCTGCAAGCTGAAGCTTTCCTCCACCTTGGTGTAGGGACAGGCGGCCAGGTGCACGGCAGCCACCATCACCAGCAGAACCAGCTGCAGGCCCTGCCTGCGGGGCAGCTTCCTCCCGGCCATTCCTGACTCACACGCGCCTCAGCCCGCCAGCCAGGTGACAGTTCAGCTCCTGGGGGGGCAGTCAGTGCCGTGCGCCGCCCTCGGTGAGACTCCGGTTGTGTCAGAACAGAGAGGGGCCTAACCCCACTGAGCTGTCCCTGGGGCAGGCGGACTGGGAGACGGGGCAGGGGAGAGGGCGCAGCTCTGAACACCACAGAGAGGGAAGTCTGAAGACACACTGCCCGGAGCGAGGGAGGGGACTCTCAGATAGATGGCAGCTGGCCACTCCACCTTCTCCAGTAGCTCCTGCTGCCTACAGGACCTCCACCCCAGGGCGTACAGCCTCACAGTGGGCTTGGATGGCAGCAGCCCAACACCTGGACTACAGCACTGCCCGGCGTCCAGAAGACGGAATGCGCAGGTCAGAGCCCAGGCCCCCTAGAGCAAGGGTCTGGTGAGGGGGGTTGGCACCCCGCCGGGGCTCAGCTTCTCTCACAGGGTATGACAGGCCTGGGGCCAGCTTCTGAGAGTCCGTGTAGTGTAAGGGGGAGCACCCAGGTTAGGAAGTGGCCCACAAAGCTCCATCAATTCATGAAACAACCCTTTAGCCGGTAGCCTCACCATTGTGGCCAGTGGCTGTCCAGTCCAACCCAGGGAGGCTTACTCTTTGGGAGTCTGAACAGTTAAATGCTTACTATTTGGGAGAGTCTGGCTGTTCAAACCCCCCACCCCACCCCAGCCCACCAAGTGCCTCACAAGAGAGGTCCAGACGCCTGCTTCTGGAATGTTCCAGCCTGGAGGCCCAGGTGGGCTGGTCTTATGGAAACCCAGATTACCTGGAGCTAACCAGGTGCAAGGTCAGCAGTTCAAAACCTCAGGAGCGAAAGAAAGGGCTCTTTTTACTCCCATAAAGGGTTGCAGTCTCAGAATCGCACAGGGGCAGTTCTACCCTGTCCTATAGGGTCAGAACTGACCAGATGGCAGGGGGATTGGTCCTTAATCAGGCTGGCATGGTGGCGCTGTGGGCTAGGCCTCGGGCTGTATGAGTTGGAGTCACCTGGTCTCCAGCGCCTGGACGCTCGCCCTCAGCGCCCCAGGCTGGCAGCTCTCTGGAAGGTTCCCTGACTGTGGCCATGGCTAATCTGCACCAGCGAGTGGCGCTATGCAGATTCTAGGCCCCGCAGGCACACTGGCCCAAGCAATCCTGGTAAAGGCACCGACCCCAGGTGAGTGTGCCAGCCTTCAGGTGAGGGGTTCTGCCCTCAGGCGAGAATCCTGGCCTCCAGGACGCCGGGCCGCGGAG